GCATATTGCACCTCACCGCAAGAGCCCTTCTCTCCCTCTCCATGTCGTCCTCATCGTTGAGCTGTCCATTCAATATACCAGATATCTGAACCTCGTTACAACCCGAATTGGCGAACCATACAGCCACACCGGTGGAACGTTTACCGGACCTTTTGCGTTCCGAAAAATAACGACTTCAGTCTTAGCCACATTATATTTCAATCCATGTTCCCCAGCATAGGACTCACATATTGAAAGAAGCTTTCGAAGTCCATTAATCGAGGGACTCAGAAGAACCATATCGTCGGCGTAGCTCAGGTTGTTAACACATACGTTACCAACATGGCAGCCAACCCTGGCTCCTCTGAGTCTCTCGATAAATAAAATGAAAAACAAAATATGAACTGACTTTTTTTATTTTTAAATAACTATTTCTAATGAGAAAAGAATAATAATAAAAACTTCATAAAAATATTTTTGTCGCATCGCCTATTTACATGGAACATTTTTCATATTAATTTATCTACATATTTATTTAGATAGGGTCAAGTGTCCCCACATGTATATATATAGTGTAACAAGGGGCACAGTGTAACAAAAGGAATATCGCTGTATTATACTTAATCATTTAAAGTCTGATAACAGCTCCATAAATTGACCGCTTAAGAAACTAACTCCTGGTCTGTGTAAAAGTAGATTTCTGCCAACAACGTTAAAAAACCCGTCTGTGGAGATGGCAGATTTCAGCCACTAGTTGAGAATATTATTTACATTTTTCGTATGTTGCGTTCTATCATATTTAATAGGTACCTAATGGTTTTTAATTTACACATCTAATATATAGGTAAGTTTGTAGACAAACTATTCAGGATTGATTTAAGACATCAATGAAGCCTGGATGTACAGCAGCAGAACTCGAATAATAGGAAAATCACCCGGTATTTTATTTTCCGGCCTTGAACACAAAATGGAGGGCTAACACAGATAGGGTTTTGAGCGTTATTTTGCTTACTCAGTTGACGGGGTCAGCCATTTGAGGTCTGATGACAGCTGCCTAAGGAACTAATAAAATCACCTCAATACAGACCATAGACAAATAAGAAAAAGGTAAAGGTATTCATTATGTTAAATGTGCCCTTGTTACATTTTCCCCCACTCGACCTTAATATAACAATTTCAATATACCATATCTGTACATAATTTTACGTACAATAAATAAACCAATACTGAAAAGGCCATGAGCAAATACATCCTTACTGATTTTCACTTAATTAAAATGACCCAGCTCATATTTTTCCCATTTTAATATCAAATTCAGAGTTACATGATTTTGACTAAGAAAATGCAGAATTACCAAAGACTTTAAAGGACTCGAGAAAATACAAACAGATCTATTTAATTTCATAAAATAAGCATAACAACAAATAAGAGCATTCTTGATACTAATTTTGTTTTTAATAAAAATATGAAAAACCAATTAATTGTGTATTTTTTTTAAATGTAAGTACGCATTATTAACAACGATAGTAAAATGGGTTTATTTTGTTCATTTATTTACATTAAATTATAAGGCGAAGTAACAGGTACTAAGGATTTTATAACTTGTTAACAATTTCATACCCTAATAATTTTCAGTGATAAGATTTTGGACAGTACAAGCTGTGCTAAGCATGATATAGCTCTGTAGTATATTTAATCAAATTAACTCAACGACAGCGCGCAAAAGAATTTCGTCTTTATTACCACTCAATTACCTTTTTTCATAAGCTGCTTTGCATAACACACTTAAAGCTCAATTTGGCTATACATCGTTCAGTAGAAAAATCTATTAGACTCCTTTCTCAAACCATACAGAGCATGATTTACTTAATTTTATTGATATAATTTAATTTTAAGTATGTAGTGCTTTTTAATAGTATTTTGTAGTTATCAGAGTTTAACTGCAATGCATAGGTATTATTTAAAATAAATATCACACTGTAACCACCACAATATCCCGAAAAGTATAAATTGTCGTTGATGTTTGTGAATATCGTTCAAATGTGTTGCGTGTAAAAGTTATAAAATCTGTTCCGAACGAATTTGGACCAAAAGTAAACAAAGAGGTAAGTAAGTCTGACCATAGACCGTTTAGTGGTGGGGATTCGTAGAGCCTTATCAAAATCAATTGAATGATCATATTTTTAGAAATTGTTAAAGATCTATAAGTCTTAATTTGTAGCATTAATATTTTTTTATCGTCATTACTCAAAAAAGAGCTCTGGCTGTATTTGGCAATATAACTATATTTCGTTACTTAGTAAAACTCTTTTGGAACGATTTGTTTGCGTGATATATTAGGAATATCCAAGTTCGCCGGCTAACAAGCTCGTAGTATCATCCTGTTGAACATCCTGCATTCATTTCAGTTACTTCGTTCAACAGTAGTCCACTTTTACACTTATAATACAAATGTGAATAATTGTATTAATTTATGTTTATATAAAAAACACCTAAGTATATCAAACAAATAAATTATGCATATAATTATGGATTTATTCAATCGATTCCACTATTCGTATATTAATATCAATTGCAATCATTTTGAATAGACTTTTCGGTACAACATTGTTCCATCAAAGATAACAGACAATTCCCATCTGACAAAAGAAACTTAATTTTCGACGAGTTTTTATTGTGATTTTTCATAAATTACTAAATTATTGCTATAAAACATAGTGAATTAATAAGTCAAACACCTAGATGTGTAAATGAAAGTGTTAAGAAATGCATTTAGTGAGTCATTGCGTGGGAACTGAGTGTTAAAGTGTTTGTTTACCTTTGTTCTAAACTCTTTTGAAACAGACTATATAATAAAGTGTGCCCAACACAATTAACTACATTAAAATTAACTTCGGCCATTTAAAACGCATCTTACCAATCAAAATGAACGTGTAACTAGTAAAACTTTATATTTTTTAGAAGATTAAAAATCAAGAAGGGTGGATTGAAATGTAAAAGTTTACATTATGTTTATGAAAATGTAATTAAGTGGTTATCCAATTTTTTATACATGCCATCCAATCAAGTTGTAACTGTAAAAAATTCCCAATTCTTTTTCTGAATCCTATATCAAGCAACATGAAGCTCATCAGTCAGAAGTCATTTGGAGGAACTCGAAAGTCATGTTTAACTAGATCTATGATGTGTTTTTAATTTCATCATACTCTTGTGATTTACAGACAAATTCAGGTCTCCACACTATTTGGCATATTCACATACACAAATATTTATTTATTTAAGCATTTAACTGCTAGATGTTTAAATCTAAAGAAAATTCTACTAAAAAAAACTTCGGGACGGGACTCAAACCCGCACCATCCGCTATCCGGGCGGATGCACTGACCAATATGGTACCACGACCCTAATTATCCGTGTCAAATTTTCTCTAGTATTTCTTAGAATGCTAAGCAGCGCCATCTCTTCGCATTGTAAGTTAGCGTGGAATTTTTTCTAGTAATATTTTCTTTAGATTTAAACATCTAGCAGTTAAATGCTTAAATAAAATATATAGGGTGAAATTGAATGTTTCTATGAAACTTCGTGAGATTGTTGGGTTATGTGTATAGAGTATGCCTGTCTTTTTTCGGATTTTTTTGAAGTATATTTTTTTCATGTATTTATTTATAATTTGTGTATTTTTATGTCCTTTCCTCGTTTTGAGTAGTTATTCATTTTAAACAAACAAACTTACATATCCAGTGAAAAACAACTAATAAATAAGCACTTCTAAAAAACGGAAAAACATTGAAATTCCACCGCGGGTCAACGACCGACCGCGCCCGCCAGCCGTTGAGTAAGTAGCTACCTAACTCTAACCAGAGCTCAACTGACTCGTTTGATTCCACACAATAGGTACAATAAAATCGTCTTAGATGCCTTAATTGAAATTGAAATAATAAGCACAAATGTCATCTTTTCCTAAGCAGAGAAAAACTTTGAAAGTTAATAATAATTTTGTCACGATTGGAAATAGGCAAATGTTAAACAAAAAGAAATACTTATTGCTTAATACCCCAAGAATGAAATTTATAACCAGGTATTCAAAAGTACTTACGAGACCGGCGATTTAGGTAGGTACAACGAGGAACGAGGAACATATTCATTTTTTTCACTAGAACTTTTTATCAAATCAATCACACTGGTAGTACACAATTAGTTGTTTCTAATCAAAAAGTATTTACACTAGCAATAAAAAGAGACTTAAATTATTATCTGCAAAATTGTTGCTCTAAACCACCATTTTGCTGCAAACAAAGGTTGCCTGTTTGCGGACGTGTCTTTTCACCTTTTTTAAAGTGTCCCTATCACTACTCACTGCACAAAATGCAACTTCTATGGTTTAGGGACTCATTCGTAAACCAAACCTACTTCGTCACACTCGCGATAGCAGTACACCATCTCTAAATATTCTTGGTTTGTATACCGAGGCATAATGAAATTATCACAGTGTATGTCACCAAGTCAAAAGATGCGCACGCTCACGCGCGATTAATATACTTGCGACTGCGTTTTGCATGCAATCAAAGCAAACGTCCGCGTGCGGGGAAGAGGGGAGGTGGGCGGAATTCACATCATCAAAGACGCCGCAACCGGCGCTAGTTGCTAGCGTGCGGCGCGCCGCCCGCCCGTGCTTGCCGCAAAACAACATATTATTATGTGTGTGTGTGTGTGTGTATGTGTGACTGTGGCTGTGATTAAATGTGTTCGGAATTTCATGACGTGGGCAAATCAGACACGAAGAGTTCCTTCCTTCCCTAAGCTCGTAAGTTATACCGATTTGCTCTTAATTTTAAGAAGATTTATATTATTGATTAATTACCTGTGCTTTATGAAATAATATTCAAAGGTATTGTGTATCAGTGAATAAATAATTATAATATAGCATCTAAGACTATTTTATTGTATTGTTTTTAAATAGTGTGGATCAAAGCGAGTAGGTAAGCGCCGAGTCATCTGTGCGTGTAGTTAGGTACCTATAGGCGGCCGCCGGTCGTCGCCCCGACCGGCGCTGATCTCGACTGTAGGCATAATGAAGGCATTCATTAAGTTTCCGTTTTTTTATTAGTGCTTATTTTAAGTTGCTTTATAACTTCTATGTAGACGTGTTTAAAATGAATAATTACTCATAAGGAAGAAATGACAAAAAAATAACCAAATAAAAAATTAAAAAACGAAAAAAAATATTTTAAAAAATCCGAAAAAAATCAGGCATACTCTATACATGTAACCCATCAATCTCACGAAGTTTCATAGAAACATTCAATTTCACTCTGTATATACACATAAATTTTCTCAAAATTTAGGTTTAGATAATCGTTCTAGAATCAGGCCCAATTTCATCCCAGAATAAAATCACTTCACTCATCACTGTTACCACTAGATTTGCGATTTATAGAGTTCTTTATGAAGCCACTCAGAGCTGTAAGTGTGAACTAGAATGTTGGAGCGTTCATGATGAATATCCTTTGTTCCTCGCGTTTAATCCACCTAAGTAGGCGGTCTACGGCTTTTATTGCTTGGTCTTTTTCCATTAAAGCGTCGAATGTTACGTATAATTCAAAGCCGTTTGTTACCTAAAATAAACATTAATATCATATAATTAACGACTGTTTAGACGCACACTATAGTGCGGGTAATGAAAGAATGTTCCTTATGGCGACAGCATAGAGTACAGTTTCGGTCTAGCAAAAAAGAAGGTCCAAAACAACTCTAATGTTGTCGCCATAAGGAACTGAAACGACCCGTCAGGATCGAACTTTTTCGATGGCCACACTGTAGGTTACAAACGCCATGTTCCCAAAGCCAGAATAAATTAAAAAAAAAAAACTAACGCCTTGTTATACTATTTTAAAAGCTTTTACATGTAATGTATGTAAGTATGTAAATGTTGCAACTTATTATAAGTTACCCTCAACCGATTGAGATTTAAATTTCCATACACGTTTAGTTTGGATGACAATTCAATGCATGATAAGTTAAGTGAGGTCATTCTAAATCCAATATGGCGGACGGCCCAAAATTACTGACTAGTTTTTTTATTGCTTTCCCATGATATGGGTATCAAATATGATAAACATAACTTGCATTATTTTCTTTTTTTTTTGAGCAAGACTAAAGAGGCGTTTTTTCACTGAACAGACAGCGGGAGCTCAGTAATAGGGTTTTCCTATGCCATTTTGGGTATTATAATTTGGAAATAGTTCTACTGATTTGACAAACAAACACCAAGACCATCGAGCATAGGAAACCTGTGTTTTATTGAGATGAACATCAAAAGTAACTAAAACTAGGATCACTTCTATTTATGAAGAAATAGCATAATATATTCTAGCAAGTAGTAGAATCTTACTATAATATTATAAGGGCGAAAGATGAGAGTGTATGTTTGTTTGTTGTGTCTTCACGTCTAAACGGCTGGAGCGATTTTAATAAAATTTGGTATGGAGTTAGCTGTCACCCTGGATTAACACATAGGCTACATTTTACTGCGGGAACATATCCCTAATAAACAGCGGGTAACACCGCGGGGCACAGCTAGTAATTAATATATTCAAGACTAGTTGGTGCTTGTGACTTCGTCTGCGTGAAAGTATTCGTTTAGTACTTCGAACCCTCGTTTTATCCTTACAGGGGATGAGTTTTGGAAAATCTTTTGTTAGCCCATGCCTACATCATAATAGTTTTATTTGTGCCAAATTTCAGCGTAATCCGTTCAGTGGTTTGAGCTGTGCGTTGATAGAACAATCAGTAACGGTTGCCTTTTATATACTAGCGGTGCAACTTCGTCGGCATTGAATTAGTTTTCTGAGAATCCACAAGAACCTAACATTGTTCCGGGATAAATTGTATTCTATGTCTTGTTAGCCTAGCCATACATATAATGTACATATATAAGTATATTTATATAGAAATACAAATTAAACATCCATGTCTGGAGTACAAATGCTTGTATTCATCACAAAAACATCTGCCCCCACCGGGATTCGAACCCGGGACCTCTCGAATCGGCGACACCAGGAAACCTGACGTACAAACCACTCGTCCACGGAGGTCGTCATATACTAGCGACGCTTGCAACTTCGTCCGCATTGACTTAGCTCTCTGAGAATCCTACAGGAGCCTAACATTTTTCCGGGATAATATGTATTCCATGTCTTAATCAAGGTCATTAAGATGCGTACCAAATGTCATCAAAATCCATTCAGTAGTTTTTGCGTCATTGACACGAGTAACAAACATTCAAACATACAAACTTTCAAATTTATAATATTAGTAGCATACAGAAGATTAAGTAATTGGTTTTTGTTCCAAATAAATTAAAAACAAGATTGATATCCGACTCACCCACGCCAGAACTGTGTTATCCGAATTAGATCTGAATATTAACTTCGCTGGCGATGAAGTACAATGGATCTGACTGCAAAACTTCCTATAGTTCCTTACGTAGTCTATATCAGACAACTTTTCAATCTTCTTCTCGCCTATATCCCCTCCTTCTTTATGCCTAATCCTGTAATCTTGTAAACGGTCTAAGCTTATAGGATCTGAGGTGAAAAGCTGAGCTGTCGACTTGCATTTGTACATAAAATGTCTTATTTCAGGTATTCCGATGTGTTTCAGTGGATTTGTTGTGGGTAGTTCTACATTTCTGGTTAATGCGTCATTTATGGCTACTAAGCAGTTGGATCGTCTTAGTTTTTCTGCTATTGTGTGTTTTGCTTGGGAGAGGGGGAAGAATGCGTCCCTTTGTACTGTTAGAAGGAGTAAGCATGCTTGGCAATCTTCGGCTATGTAAGAAACGTGGCCGTGGAGGAAGCCGCTGTAACAAAGGAAATTTTATGTAAGTATTCGTCAGTTATGCTAAATATGATAATATTTTGTCAACCGATTTTGAATCTTATATCAAGCAAGTTTTTTTTCATTCAGCAATATATATAAACAGCAACAAATCTTTCCTCTTTATAATATTAGTATAGAAGCATAGACTAGAGATCCTTATAATTTTTATTATTTTTAAAGCATGTAACTGCTTGATGTTTAAATCTAAAGAAAATATAACTAGAAAAAATTCCACGCGGACCAGGCAGCAGACGGGACTCGAACCCGCACCCTTCGCAATCCGGGCGAATGCACTGACGAATTATGCTACCGCGGCCCTCACGGACCGCGTCGAAATTCTTTCTAGCTATTCTTAAGCTGCAAGGCAGCGCCATCTCTTCGCATTATAGGTAAACCCACAATGTCAAATGAATACTTTTACAAGTATTAAACATTTGAAAGAAGAAATAGCAATTATAGTTATAATTTTTATTATTTTTAAAGCATGTAACTGCTTGATGTTTAAATCTAAAGAAAATATAACTAGAAAAAATTCCACGCGGACCAGGCAGCAGACGGGACTCGAACCCGCACCCTTCGCAATCCGGGCGAATGCACTGACGAATTATGCTACCGCGGCCCTCACGGACCGCGTCGAAATTCTTTCTAGCTATTCTTAAGCTGCAAGGCAGCGCCATCTCTTCGCATTATAGGTAAACCCACAATGTCAAATGAATACTTTTACAAGTATTAAACATTTGAAAGAAGAAATAGCAATTATAGTTATAATTTTTATTATTTTTAAAGCATGTAACTGCTTGATGTTTAAATCTAAAGAAAATATAACTAGAAAAAATTCCACGCGGACCAGGCAGCAGACGGGACTCGAACCCGCACCCTTCGCAATCCGGGCGAATGCACTGACCAATTATGCTACCGCGGCCCTCACGGACCGCGTCGAAATTCTTTCTAGCTATTCTTAAGCTGCAAGGCAGCGCCATCTCTTCGCATTATAGGTAAACCCACAATGTCAAATGAATACTTTTACAAGTATTAAACATTTGAAAGAAGAAATAGCAATTATAGTTATAATTTTTATTATTTTTAAAGCATGTAACTGCTTGATGTTTAAATCTAAAGAAAATATAACTAGAAAAAATTCCACGCGGACCAGGCAGCAGACGGGACTCGAACCCGCACCCTTCGCAATCCGGGCGAATGCACTGACGAATTATGCTACCGCGGCCCTCACGGACCGCGTCGAAATTCTTTCTAGCTATTCTTAAGCTGCAAGGCAGCGCCATCTCTTCGCATTATAGGTAAACCCACAATGTCAAATGAATACTTTTACAAGTATTAAACATTTGAAAGAAGAAATAGCAATTATAGTTATAATTTTTATTATTTTTAAAGCATGTAACTGCTTGATGTTTAAATCTAAAGAAAATATAACTAGAAAAAATTCCACGCGGACCAGGCAGCAGACGGGACTCGAACCCGCACCCTTCGCAATCCGGGCGAATGCACTGACCAATTATGCTACCGCGGCCCTCACGGACCGCGTCGAAATTCTTTCTAGCTATTCTTAAGCTGCAAGGCAGCGCCATCTCTTCGCATTATAGGTAAACCCACAATGTCAAATGAATACTTTTACAAGTATTAAACATTTGAAAGAAGAAATAGCAATTATAGTTATAATTTTTATTATTTTTAAAGCATGTAACTGCTTGATGTTTAAATCTAAAGAAAATATAACTAGAAAAAATTCCACGCGGACCAGGCAGCAGACGGGACTCGAACCCGCACCCTTCGCAATCCGGGCGAATGCACTGACGAATTATGCTACCGCGGCCCTCACGGACCGCGTCGAAATTCTTTCTAGCTATTCTTAAGCTGCAAGGCAGCGCCATCTCTTCGCATTATAGGTAAACCCACAATGTCAAATGAATACTTTTACAAGTATTAAACATTTGAAAGAAGAAATAGCAATTATAGTTATAATTTTTATTATTTTTAAAGCATGTAACTGCTTGATGTTTAAATCTAAAGAAAATATAACTAGAAAAAATTCCACGCGGACCAGGCAGCAGACGGGACTCGAACCCGCACCCTTCGCAATCCGGGCGAATGCACTGACCAATTATGCTACCGCGGCCCTCACGGACCGCGTCGAAATTCTTTCTAGCTATTCTTAAGCTGCAAGGCAGCGCCATCTCTTCGCATTATAGGTAAACCCACAATGTCAAATGAATACTTTTACAAGTATTAAACATTTGAAAGAAGAAATAGCAATTATAGTTATAATTTTTATTATTTTTAAAGCATGTAACTACTTGATGTTTAAATCTAAAGAAAATATAACTAGAAAAAATTCCACGCGGACCAGGCAGCAGACGGGACTCGAACCCGCACCCTTCGCAATCCGGGCGAATGCACTGACCAATTATGCTACCGCGGCCCTCACGGACCGCGTCGAAATTCTTTCTAGCTATTCTTAAGCTGCAAGGCAGCGCCATCTCTTCGCATTATAGGTAAACCCACAATGTCAAATGAATACTTTTACAAGTATTAAACATTTGAAAGAAGAAATAGCAATTATAGTTATAATTTTTATTATTTTTAAAGCATGTAACTGCTTGATGTTTAAATCTAAAGAAAATATAACTAGAAAAAATTCCACGCGGACCAGGCAGCAGACGGGACTCGAACCCGCACCCTTCGCAATCCGGGCGAATGCACTGACCAATTATGCTACCGCGGCCCTCACGGACCGCGTCGAAATTCTTTCTAGCTATTCTTAAGCTGCAAGGCAGCGCCATCTCTTCGCATTATAGGTAAACCCACAATGTCAAATGAATACTTTTACAAGTATTAAACATTTGAAAGAAGAAATAGCAATTATAGTTATAATTTTTATTATTTTTAAAGCATGTAACTGCTTGATGTTTAAATCTAAAGAAAATATAACTAGAAAAAATTCCACGCGGACCAGGCAGCAGACGGGACTCGAACCCGCACCCTTCGCAATCCGGGCGAATGCACTGACCAATTATGCTACCGCGGCCCTCACGGACCGCGTCGAAATTCTTTCTAGCTATTCTTAAGCTGCAAGGCAGCGCCATCTCTTCGCATTATAGGTAAACCCACAATGTCAAATGAATACTTTTACAAGTATTAAACATTTGAAAGAAGAAATAGCAATTATAGTTATAATTTTTATTATTTTTAAAGCATGTAACTGCTTGATGTTTAAATCTAAAGAAAATATAACTAGAAAAAATTCCACGCGGACCAGGCAGCAGACGGGACTCGAACCCGCACCCTTCGCAATCCGGGCGAATGCACTGACCAATTATGCTACCGCGGCCCTCACGGACCGCGTCGAAATTCTTTCTAGCTATTCTTAAGCTGCAAGGCAGCGCCATCTCTTCGCATTATAGGTAAACCCACAATGTCAAATGAATACTTTTACAAGTATTAAACATTTGAAAGAAGAAATAGCAATTATAGTTATAATTTTTATTATTTTTAAAGCATGTAACTGCTTGATGTTTAAATCTAAAGAAAATATAACTAGAAAAAATTCCACGCGGACCAGGCAGCAGACGGGACTCGAACCCGCACCCTTCGCAATCCGGGCGAATGCACTGACCAATTATGCTACCGCGGCCCTCACGGACCGCGTCGAAATTCTTTCTAACTATTCTTAAGCTGCAAGGCAGCGCCATCTCTTCGCATTATAGGTAAACCCACAATGTCAAATGAATACTTTTACAAGTATTAAACATTTGAAAGAAGAAATAGCAATTATAGTTATAATTTTTATTATTTTTAAAGCATGTAACTGCTTGATGTTTAAATCTAAAGAAAATATAACTAGAAAAAATTCCACGCGGACCAGGCAGCAGACGGGACTCGAACCCGCACCCTTCGCAATCCGGGCGAATGCACTGACCAATTATGCTACCGCGGCCCTCACGGACCGCGTCGAAATTCTTTCTAGCTATTCTTAAGCTGCAAGGCAGCGCCATCTCTTCGCATTATAGGTAAACCCACAATGTCAAATGAATACTTTTACAAGTATTAAACATTTGAAAGAAGAAATAGCAATTATAGTTATAATTTTTATTATTTTTAAAGCAATTTTTTCTAGTTATATTTTCTTTAGATTTAAAGATCAAGCAGTTACATGCTTTAAAAATAATAAAAATTATAACTATAATTGCTATTTCTTCTTTCAAATGTTTAATACTTGTAAAAGTATTCATTTGACATTGTGGGTTTACCTATAATGCGAAGAGATGGCGCTGCCTTGCAGCTTAAGAATAGCTAGAAAGAATTTCGACGCGGTCCGTGAGGGCCGCGGTAGCATAATTGGTCAGTGCATTCGCCCGGATTGCGAAGGGTGCGGGTTCGAGTCCCGTCTGCTGCCTGGTCCGCGTGGAATTTTTTCTAGTTATATTTTCTTTAGATTTAAACATCAAGCAGTTACATGCTTTAAAAATAATAAAAATTATAACTATAATTGCTATTTCTTCTTTCAAATGTTTAATACTTGTAAAAGTATTCATTTGACATTGTGGGTTTACCTATAATGCGAAGAGATGGCGCTGCCTTGCAGCTTAAGAATAGCTAGAAAGAATTTCGACGCGGTCCGTGAGGGCCGCGGTAGCATAATTGGTCAGTGCATTCGCCCGGATTGCGAAGGGTGCGGGTTCGAGTCCCGTCTGCTGCCTGGTCCGCGTGGAATTTTTTTTTACTAGAGATCCTTCCCGAATTTGGACAGATAACTTTATATAAGTGATAAAATATAACCAATTATAAACGAATTTATGAAATTGGTCCAGTTCCAGTAGATTTTCAGTTAATTCGCTACAAACATAAAAAAATCTTCTTCATAATGTTATTATAGAAGTAAAAGGAACACTTACGTGGCATCGAACTTCGGCAAACAAATCGGTGTCCAACTCTCAGCAGTCTTAAACGATTCCGAACTCCTAACGAGATTGAACAACAGATGAATATCAGAAGGATGTAGCGTATATTTCTTCATACGGACTAGAGTTATCAATTGGTTTCCAGCTATCAGTATAGCGAACACTAGATCCCTGATTTTGTGGCATGTGGTGGTTATTGCGTTTGTTATGTTCTCTCTCGCTTTCTCTGGTAAAGGTAGGCATCTGACTGCACCTGTTGGTTAGTATAGAAAAGGTTTTGTTTATGCGTTCCTACTGGCAAAACTATTTTGTGTCTAGTAAAAAAATTAAAACAATAATTATGTTTAATAAATCATTGATATTGAGGTATCATTACAATTAACAAAATAAGGTCTCTTAAATCCACGCGGACCAGGCAGCAGACGGGGCTCGAACCGGGAGGCGAATGCACTGACCATTATGCTAGATTTTCTTTAGATTTAAACATCTAGAAGTTGAATGCTTAAAAAAACATAACTATGTATAATTGCTATTACTTCTTTCAAAATTTTAACACTTGCAAAGGTATTTATTTGGCATTGTGGGTTACCTACGATGCGAAAAGATGGCGCTGCCTTGTAGCCTAAGGCTAGAGAAAATTCGACACGGCCGTTAGGACCGCGGTACCATAATGGTCAGTGCATTCGCCCGGATAGCAAAAATCGAGGCCGCGTCGAAATTCTTCTTGCCATTCTTAAGCTGTAAGGCAGCCATTTCTTCGCATTGTAGGTAACCCACAATGTCAAATGAATACTTTTACAAGTATTAAACATTGACAGAAGAAAATAGCAATACCGTCTTTGACCTATTGGAGGCCCTGGGTATATTAGGATAATGGGGCCCCTATAGAATGCCCCTATGACTTCCGTTTCGTGATTTAACAGGAACTAGGGACTTTGTATTTGATCTGAGGCCCAGGGCCCTGCGATCGATAGGGGGGCCCTGGGCACTTGCCCAAAGTGCTCACTGGGAAAGACGGGTCTGGCAATAGGGTATTTGACAAGTTTTAGAAAACGATCTCACATTATTGACTAATGTTTATGGAGTCCGTAAAACGTCATCATTCTGTTGTGAATTTCAGTAAAAATAACCAAATTTTCAAGTTGCCGCGAAAACGTTTCTCTGGACAATATGGCGTCTTACTAGTGTGTGACGTCACACGAATGTTATTAAAACGTCAAACGATACAATGTAATGTCACTTTAACCGGAAGTTTACTTGCGTGTGACGTCATTTAAGGCTCCGCCAATCCCAATCGTTTTGGGTCACGTGTCAATATATAAGAAAACTATATCTTTTTCGTGGGTTTTTAGTAAGATTATGAATATTTTTTTGTAAAAATAACTCCTGCCAATATTCATTCTAAATACAGATGCTAACAATTGGAACTTTATTTTTTAACACTGTCAAATACCCTATTACAGTTATAATTTTAATTTTTTAAGCATGTTTCTGCTTGATGTTTAAATCTAAAGAAAATATAACTAGAAAAAATTCCACGCGGATCAATAAAACAAAAAAAAAAACTAAAATGCAGTTGTTGTATTTCAGCATATTTCAAAATTCTTTGCGTTGCTCTAACTTAAAATTTAGTGAAGTTATGTTGAGTGTGTTGCTACTAAATAAATACAATTACCCAATAAAAATGCAGGATCTTTCTCCATGAATATGAGTAAATTATCTATCAGTCTTTCGGCTCCCGACAGGAGTCTCCTTAAATCATAGTTCCTTCTCTGCTCAAATATCCTATTAAGCTGTGTTAGAGTGAGTACTGAAACTATTTGATTGAAAGCGTACCTGGAATTATATAAAAAACTAAATTATATCCAAAAATCACATTTACCTCAGTTACAGTTATTACAACTTTTGAATGATTGAAAAATTTACTTTTGACTGACACAATTTCATTTGAGTAAAACCACAGAAAAGAAAATAGCCAGAGGGCTATGGCATCTGGCATCATCGTTGAAAATAATTACTTATCTAAACATGTATAACGTGTCACTAGTCGCAAATAAATTCTGCTTGAAACTGCGTGAGAACACCTGTAAACATAACTCTAATGTGTGTGTGACAGAAATGACACTTTGTTATGAGCAGATTGTCTGCTTGGGCGCAGCAGTTATGTGGTTTCTGGTACTATCAGTATAAAAAAGTGTCACATTTTCAATGCCCTGTTAGCTTTGCATTTCTTTTAAAACACACCAATTGCTTTAGCGCCAAAGTAAGAACTAACGTAAAGGTGCTGTCCGACGGCCTATGTTATCGCGGGCGCCGGCGTGGGCAGGGTTGCCAAACGTATGAGAACTCTAATGTTTGAGATTTAGCAGTCTCTACATGATACGAGGTAAATAGAAATCTCGTATACTTTGTGATGGCATAATGAAGCTGTACTTACTGAGTCGATCATTAGTGGACTGGACATTTATTTACTTTCTGATATGTGTCATGTATAGATACTGCTAAATCTCAAAAGTTAGAGTGCTCTTACGATTTCGCAAACCTGCGCGGCGCAGCCTCGCTCGCGACAACACAGATCGTGGGACAGCACCTTAATACTAATACGTATGATTATCTAGAAATTTAAATAAACATCCATGGCTTAGGTACAAATGTTCGTATTTATCATAGTAACATTTACCCTACCAGGATCCTCTGAGTAGGCGACATCTGAAACCCGGCGGACATACCAATCGCGCCACTGAGGTCATCTTATTAATTATACTTACGTCAACTGCCATACCAGCTGTGTTTCACTTTCGTTAGATTTGGAAACCGCTACAAGTATCAAAGGGCCTTTAACTAAAAATACTGCTTTGCAGTCTTTGGTTACGATCGATCTTAAAATATCTTGATTCTGGTCCTCTACTACGCTGACTAGTGCTTGAATAACCCCACAAAGGCCTGCCAGTTTGTCTTCGTTTCCATATCTAGAAAATGTAAGGTTATGTTAGGATACTAGAAACTGTGTGAGCTTCCGTACACATAAGCTGCAAAGTAAATTTAGTAAAGATTGAATATTTCTGTGGTTACATTAATAACTGCTGCTTATCTCTGAAAATCAGTGTTTTTGTCAGAGTTCTGCTGAATGAGGAACATCAGATATAAACATGCTTTGTTACACACTAATCATTTAAAATAAACACTAATGCCGTTTATATTCATCTGAAGTATTTTGTAATGTCACATCAATTTTCATATTTTAGCCTAGAATATTGTATGAAATGGCAATGGTCAAAGTCAGAAGATGCTTTAAAGGTCTTCTTAAAAATGACTTGTAGGTAGTATTCACCTGGAGTATATTGGTTTGCCTGCAGAACTTAATATGAAAACATGTTTCTCTTTGTTCACCAATTCTGGTGATTGTAGATAGTCATCTTTTTCATTATCTGACTCTTCACCATTTTGTTCACTTAAGTTGCCACTGCTCGCTGAAGCCGACATATTTTCCTGTAAAATTAGAGATGACTTATTTTAAATTTAATCTTGGATCACTCAATAGAAAAGTGAGTAAAGACATGGCTTAGTACTATTATTGTGACATGTCACAATACCAGCGTACCACATCCGTTATAGAAGCAACATTGTTTTTATGCCTAAACAGTGGGACACGGCATTCCTAAACTTTTTTCATTTTTAAATGTTTTTTATATTTTTTATTTTATAGTCATAATTGTTTTATCATTTACATTTGTAATGGAAAGTGACTTCATGGGTTATCTCATATTGAACTCATTTTTCAAATTGACGACTCTGTATATAATACAGGGGAAAAAAACAGCCCTTGCTGAGTTTCTTGCCAGTTCTTCTCAGTACAAGGTCTCCCGCCGTAGATTTGCGAACCGATGGCGTAGCTTTTCGACATTCACAAGTGCTTGTAACAGTCTAGACTGAATAAACAATATTGAATTTTGAATTTTTTGAATTGAACATGTCTTCAACAATAAATAATGTTGGTTCAGAAGCAAAGTAAAAGTAAACAAATTACCATCCATCAGTTGAGTTTAAAGTTAATGGTGGTTTGGTGTAGTTTGACCTATGATTTTGTAAGAGTAAGTATTACAATATATAATAATATTCTTTAATATATAAAAAGTTATTGTTAACAACCAACATTGGAGCGCCTACACATTATTATATTGATTACTTTTTTTGTTTATTTAGGTTTCAGCCATATTAATAATCCTGAAAAGGTATGGTATAAACCTGTGCATTTCACGATCAGTTCATCAACATATAAGCACAAAAATAGGTGACAAACTTACATCTTTACTTTGCAGATCATCACTTGATTTTGTACTTGTGATCTCATTATTTACATCACTTATTTCACTCTGAATTTCGGATATAGTGCTGCTCTTAGTTTTCAACGATGTGTTTCTTTCTTGGATGCTGGAACTTATTTCTGAAGCAAACTCTTCGAAATAATCAGATGGGTTCAACACACTTTCTGGACACGCACCCGGTTCCAAGTCATCCGGAGTGTTATTCTGACTGCTAGGACCAGCCTGACCGTTATCTTTAGATGTAGATGCCATTATTGAGGTAAATGGACAATTAAATTAGTTGAAAATACGATTTTGCGTCCAACTATCTGCATCGGGTTTGTTGGTTGGGGGAAGACAATGTCAATGTCACTCACTGTCATTTGATAAATGTCATTGTCAAAAGATTTTTTTAATACGTCTCCGTTGGGAATGCAACAGAAATTAACTACATACAACCTAAACTTAAATATCTTCTTGATACTTGTTTTTCAGTAGAATGCTGATGTTGCACATTTTGATGTTTTTTGGAGTTATCTACCAAATTGATCAAGTAAATTTTCTCGATAAGCTTCTAAAATAAGTCAATTATGGCAGAATTCATATGTCACGTATGGTGATATCTCATCATCGTCATCAGATTATTAATTTTCCCATGGCTGAGGCATAGTTCTTCCTTATGGATGAAGCATGGAGATTGGGCCATGACTCACCACGCAGGTACAGTGCGCATTTGTGGTAAGGTCTGCAGATACAGCCGAGACTTAACGGCTTAACGTGCCTTCCGAAGCACAGAGGAGTTAGAGATAGTAAAATTTTGGTCACCCATCCAATGACCAACCACTGCGAAAGGTGCTCAACTTCAACGATCGCAGTTAACCCTTTAATTCACAACGTTGGAAATACTCCACCTGTGTTACGTTCCAAGGGTGTTTAAATGAAACGAGACCCTTGGTGTAAACAACAAATTTATTTGGGCGTGGTTCGAAGTGCCCGGTTAAAAAAAAACCATTACAAAATTGGTCCTTCTTTGCTTACCCGGCCAGGGTTGGTACCCTCCTGGTAGTTCCGCCGAAGAGCCATGGCAGGAACTGCAGTAGAAAAGTACCCGGGACGTAGGTATGTGTGTTTTGTTATAATTTCTACAATTAGATCAGAGTTACAATCGGAGAAAAACAACAAATAAGTAAGCTAAATCACAGCTTAGTAAGCTTAAACAACAATAGAAGAATAACTAATACAAAGTGCAAAAGCATTATATCATGGATAAAAAATAAAATTGACGGTTACTTATTATCAAAATTTCAAATTTTCTACTTTCTAATAGGACGCTAATTAAAGCAATACCTGTTCAACACTTGCCAATACGTAGGGTTATGCACTGAGTGTAACGATTAATGAGACTTAAACAATTATTATCATCATCATCATCAGCCTATCAATGTCCCCACTGCTGGGGCACAGGCCTTCCCTATGTATGGAATAGGGAGAACAAACAATTATTATGATGATTTCAAATTTAAAAAAAATAAACACTGCGCGTTGTCCGCAAGGTCGCTGGGAGCACAGAACAAGCGCGGGTCTGCTCAAAGATTATTTTCGGGTGTGAGATGGCCGGCCGCGCCGATGGGCAACCAACTCGCGGTGCAGCTCGAGGGGGGGAGGAACTCAACAAACAAGTCGCCGAACTTGGAAACGCGCGCGCAGCGCGATTGCATTGATCGATGTTAAATGAATTTTGTGTTTATAAACAATAGGTATTTACCCTTTCATACAGTATCAATGTTTTTTAAGTTAAATGAACTCTTTTTGCGTCTGGTTAGACTATCGAACTTAACGAGTAAACTCCAGTCGTGCGTCGGAGCTGACACACACAATTTTTTTTGACTTTGTTATTATTTTATTTTGAAATTGGTGGTTTTGTTAAAAAGTTGTGCCAAGATTGTTTACCAAATAGGACAAGTTAGAATGAACAGACTTTAGTGTTGCCATTTATTTTGTTTATTATTCCACCTGTATTTGTTGCTCTACAAACAATAGCCAAATATTCAGCAGTTTTAGAACCAGTAGTTAACGCACTGCAAGCTAAATCGATCGACATGATCTCGGTGGGGGAACACATCAAAAATATCAAGGATATTCTCAGAAATGACCGCGAGTTTCCTGATAAAATAAGTAATGAAATGCTTCAAAAAGCGCGAGCTGTTGCAATGGATTTGAACATAGATATTTCGGTTCCACGTCTTGCTCATAAGCAAACAGATAGAAGTAATCCGCCACCTGACAATGATAACGAATATTGGCGGCGTTCTCTGATAATACCATACATTGATTCAGTCATTTCATCGTTGAATATTCGATTCTCCCAAAAAAATACTCCGGCGTTTGCTTTCAGTAAGCTACATCCCTCGAAACAGGTATGAGCTGCCCCCTCGTAGCTGAAATCCTGGGTACGCCCTTGGCCGACTCGAGAGATCTCGGGTTCGAAACCCGGTGGGGTCAGATGTTTGTGTGATGTAACGAGTATTTGTAGTCCAGTCATGGATGTTTCATATTTATTTATTTATTTATTCAAGTTAAACATGCAGGCTTACAGAATAATCCAAAACGCCGGCAAGTGATACATAAAAATATTAACAATCATAGAAGGTATTCATTAAATTCAATAAAATTAAGAAAAAGAGATAAACAAATAATAATAACAATAACAAAAAAACAGTAATGCCAAATAGATATGTAATGTCAAAGAGCAATATCAAATAGTACTTAATAGAAACAAAGTCAAATCACCCATTGTAAAATTATTATTAATTAATGATAAAATAAAAAATTGTGTGTGTCAGCTCCGACGCACGACCGGAGTTTACACTCTAAAAACGATTGTCTTTGAACAGACACAAAATAAAATCAAGTCCGAAGAAGTCGGTTACAAGTAGAGATACCTCAGGAATCGTCCCATGGTTTCGACTATCATAGGTTCCATGGCACATATTTTATCATCTAACATCAGCGATATTCATCATATATTTTATTATGTATTTCTTTAAACACACAATTTCAAAAATATCACACATTAGTCATCATTTTGTAAATATGTATTATAATTCCATCTGTATTGAAAATCACTATTCCAGAGTGCTGGACACTTACCGGCATTTCTCTATATTCTGTTATTTATTTGTTTTCATTAATTTTGCTCCGATTTTATCTATTTTTAGTTTATTTATTTTATTGACATTTGTGACAACTTAAGTGCACAGATGAGGTTGCGCACAAAAACGTAACGAGGTCATTAATGTCATTCATCGATAGATTTTACTCCTCACATTTTTCTCATACCGGGCCCCTTATATATGCAAATCGATTCTTAAGGAGTAAACTCCAAAAATAGTTAATTATGTCAAATCAATAAAACAATTAATAATGTCATATCTAATGTCAACTAAGAACAGACAATGTCAAATATATTAATTTGATAAATAATGTCATGCCATTTTAGTTATAAATAAATGAATTGTCAAATTCAGAAATAATCAATGACCTATTTTCTCAAGAAACTCAAATGCAGCCGCCACTAGCTTTGTCAAACCATCAGCGAATAAGTCGATATTGGCACATTGAGCGAGCCCGCCGACGTCGTGTGGGACACGCGAGGGTACCAAAAAACACACCCGCTCCAGCACGCCAGGGGCGGACGCCCCTGGCGTACTTTGCCGTAGAGCACAGAGAGATAGTGGATGACGAGACTGACTTTTTTCCTAAGAGCGAGTGTATTCAGCCCTACCATACTGTACACGAACGATGAGGGATAAAGATACGGATAATACCCATTGCACTTTTTAAATAACCACCACTTCTCCACCATAAGGCTATATTTTTTCTCGTGTTGGTCCCATAGGACCATAGTATTCCAGTTTACTTCGCACATACGCGTTATATAGTGCTCTGGCCACAGTAAAATTGCTAAATTCTGAACCTGTCCTCAGAATAAACCCTAAGAGTCGGCTCGCCGATTTACAAATATTTGCCACATGCTTGTGGAAGTCCATTTTTTTATCTAAAGTAATTCCTAGATCCTTTATTTCGTCGATTCGATCCAAAGGAGTGTCAAATAATTTATAGTCAGAATGTAATATATAACGCTTTCGTGAGAATGTAATGATTTTACATTTTGCAGGATTGAAAGACAGGCGATTACTTTCGCCCCATGCGGCTACGGCATCAATGTCATTCTGCAAAGCATCTATATCTGATCTATCACCTATACCCAGATAGAGTTTGAGGTCATCAGCGAATAAAAGACACTCAGCAAACTTAACAAAATCCGGCAGATCATTCACCATGGCGAGAAACAGAGTCGAACCTAAAGTGGCCCCCCAGGCTTACACCGGAACGAGTGAAGTAAACCTCAGATTCATGTCCATTCAATCGTACAAACTGACATCGGTCGCTGAGGTAGTTTGCGAAGAACTGCAAAAGTCGAGGCGCAAAACCGACCCCTGATAACTTTCGTAGCAAGATGTCGTTATCAACGAGGTCAAAGGCTTTCTTGAAATCAAAGTAAGCTGCGTCTACTTGTCTACTGGAGTCCATTTCTGTAGAAACACAGTCCAACAAAGTCACCAGATTCGTTGTAGTCGAGCGCACCTTGTGAAAGCCGTGCTGACTATCATGCAACCGGCTACTTATCTGTTGGCTAATGCATCCATTAAGGATCGTTTCAAATAATTTTGCAAAAACGGACAGCACAGCAATCGGCCTATATATGGTGACATCGGGCCCAGGGTCTCCCTTCGCAATCGGTGTTACGCGAGAAAGCTTCCAGCAATCCGGGTACCAGGCCTTAACCAATGACAAGTTGAACAGATGCAAAAGCGGAGACTTAAGAGTGGATATGCAATCCTTGACCAAAAAAATCGGAATGCCATCAGGTCCACTGGATGATCGAGCCTTAAGACGCCTAATAGCTGCTTTGAGATCAACGTCAGTTATTGTTGACACTGAAATGAGCCTAGCATCCTTAATTGTATAACTCTCCTCAGCAGTTTTAGCGGGATTCAAGCGGGGCACCTCGTCCAAGAACACAGAACCGAAATATTTTGCAAAAGCCTCCGCAGCCTCGTGACCGGTTACTGTCACATCGTTGTATAAATAAAAATCTACATATCGCCTGTCCATCCTCTTATCTTTAATGTATTCCCAGAATTTTACAGGTTCGTCAATGATATTTTTTTTTGGATATTTTGTATATAAAGCTGATGTTCTTTGTCAATCAGTTTTTTTGTGTGCCATCTATAATATCTAAATAATTCAAAATTAAATTCTTTACGGTCTTGTTTATACCTCTTCAAGTGTATATATTTCTGTTTTAAGTTATTAATTATCTCGCTAGTAAACCACCTGGGATAATTATACCTATTGTTATAGGGTGAATCCCTTTTAGGGGGAACATATAAATTTATACAATCG